CAACATGCTTACTGCTTACCACTATCTAGAATCGTCTGTGGCGAAAATTCTTTTCTCATTTACTACTTGGTCTGACAGAACTGAATTTTTTTGTTTATGGTACTTTATTTTTGTGTCTTACCACATGGGCACTTGCAGGAAATTTAAATTACAGTAGCAAACAGATCAGAGTTTTTCTGACATTGCATTCTCATTGAGGAATAGTGCTTTTATGTCATCTGGTAAAACTGCTAATTTATGAAAACTCAAACCTGTTCTTAATTCTCTTGTGCAGTAGCGCTGGATATCCTAATCTTTGGCCTTCCTCTTCCTGCAAAGAGCCACTTGATGTATCAAAGAGTTCAACTTTTGATGTGGTTTCTGGAATTTTGACAGGTTAAGCTCATGAAAACATTTACCCTGTTATTTATTGTGTGCTTATAGATTACTTACTGTATGGGTATACTTCTCTCTCTCTCTCTCTCTCTCTCTCTCTGATTACACACTTGATGCATAGAAATAGGACCTGAAAATCATGAATATCATGTCCACATATGATTTCTACTTTAAAAAATATATAATTGTCTATAGCTACTGTGGCAAATCTTGTGTTTATCTTCCATATACTATGCAATTTTGGTTTCCAATGTACAGATATGAGAAAGATTTTTCCCTTTGAGCTATTCCACTTGGGCGGTGATGAAGTTAATACAAGTGAGTAAAACCTTTTGTTCTAAGCTAATATTCAGCAGTCATTTTATTCACACAAGAATGGAGAAGTTTACTCTTTTTCTTTATGCGACACTAATCTTTGTGTTATTTTTTATATAAATTTTTTTCTGATAAACAATGAAATTATAAGTACTTTGCTTTTATAAAATTTTGGTGCACGCGTGACTTTTATGAGCTAGAAAGTGTTCTATTTTACACCTACCAATTATTATTCGTTCTCCTTCCAAAAGTTTGAAGGAGTACAAATGTTTATATTTTACACCTGCATTGAGATATCATAACTTGTAAGTGAGCGGATGACATTCTGCTCCTTGCAAAATATGATGGATCTGTGATGAGAGAGAAGTGATGTGTTATATTCTAAGGACCTGTATGTAAACTCGTGTATCGTGTGATTGAAAATTTTCATTAGATGTCATGTGCAGAACCTCTCTCTCTCCCTGTGTTGTTTCATGCTTGCATACGATCTGATGTTATTTCAAAATTTGACAGCTTGTTGGAGCTCCACTCGACATGTGAAGCAATGGTACTCACTTCATTTGGCATTTTCATTATCTTTCAGATCTTATATGATTACAATTTGCATGTAATCTTCTACCTTTCAAGCGATGATTACAATTTGCATGTAACTCTGTGCATTGGTCTTTATATTTGTAGGCTTCAGCAACACAACATGACTACTAAAGACGCATATCAGTATTTTGTCCTCAAAGCACAAGAAATAGCAATTTCAAAAAATTGGACCCCGGTAAACTGGTATGTCTAATATCAATAGAATTGTTACCATCCTTTTTTGTTCCCTCGTAAATTCTTGCTAGGTTTTTCATCAGTTTAAAGTTATGAATCAACAGCTTTTAAACAAAGGAATTCAACTATTCAAAGAGTGTTTCGTTGTTTTTGTTTCTCAATACTGTAAAGAATGATGTGACAGATTTAAGTTTTCTTACCACAGGGAAGAAACCTTCGACACCTTCCCAACAAAGCTAAATCCAAGGACTGTAGTGCATAACTGGTGATTTTCTTCCCTATGCACAGTTTTGTGATGGCATCAAGTGAAGCTCTAATGGTCTTAAGCACTTTCTAACTTTATAAATGCAATAGGTTGGGCCCAGGGGTTTGTCCGAAGGCTGTTGCCAAAGGTTTCAGATGTATTTTCAGCAATCAAGGTGTTTGGTATCTTGACCATCTACATGTCCCTTGGGAAGATACTTATAATGCTGAACCACTTGAAGGAATTAACAATGTTTCTCAGCAAAAGCTTGTTCTTGGAGGAGAAGTATGCATGTGGGGTGAGACAGCTGATACATCAGATGTTCAGCAAACTATTTGGCCTCGAGCTGCTGCTGCTGCAGGTAAGTAGTGAATTAAGTTGATTTAGAGTCAATCTCCCAGGTGTGATATGTTGGTACTGTGTGTTTTCTGGGTACTCTTCAGCTTGAGATTGAATGCCATTTCATTTTCCCTGTAGAGCGTTTGTGGAGCAGGAGGGAGGCAACATCTGCGCGAAATGGTAATTTCACTGCACTGCCTCGGCTACAATACTTCAGATGCCTCTTGAATAGACGTGGAGTTCAAGCTGCTCCAGTGACCAACATGATTGCTCGAAGTCCTCCAATTTGGTCCGGGTCATGCTATGACCAATAATACTTCGATTATCATATTAGGTGATTTCATTAGTCTTAAACTTCCCTTCCAATGCTCTACAGATAAATGCAAGCGTTCTAGAGATTTAGCATTTCTGTTGTTCAAACATGCATGCCTATTTATGATAGCTATTATTGTCAGAATTTACGGTTTAGAATCTTTTGCATCTCGATGTTGAGATCATTGGCTGGGAAATATTATGGATCACAGAGTGTGGTCATTGTATTTGGAAAAATGGGTGGTTGTTGCGTAGGCGTTCCTTTTTTATATATATAATTATTTAGTATTATAAATTTTAAATTTATACCAAAATCATGCAAAATAAAAGGATATGTAAATTATAAAGTACCATAATTGATATAAAGTCTAACACGGCCGTCTTCCAGCCCCTCTCTCTCGCTCAGACGTGAGTTATAACCCGCGACCTCTCTCTCTCTCTCTCTCTCTCTCATAGCACCATTGTCATTTCGTCCTTGGAGATTCCAAAATGGCCCTTTTTTTCTGGGTCAGACCTGGTAAATTCAGTATATATTCAAATACTGGCGTCATAAATAGGAGGGCGCATCTCATTAAGACTCCTATAACCAGTCCAGGTAAGCCAGTTTTAGCTCCACTCTCATGATTCACAGCTGACCTAGAAAAAGAACCTGCACGAAGCCAAAAAGTGTAAAGACAATTGTTGCCCAAAAAGTGATGTCAAATTCCGCTATGAGAAAAGAGACAATATTACATAAAAGAGAAGGAATCATACAACAGGAAAAATAGCAACATTGATAGTTATTCAATTTTAAAACAGGCACCGGATTAGATTGTGACTGTTTAGGAAACTCTATCATTCTATATAATAGGCCTGCATTTCAACCATTGTATGCCAAGCTCACCATGCTCTCTTCACCATCCCAACGTTAAAACAGAGCTTGCGGAACTCTGTATTGGTTATTTTAACAATTCGAGAACGATATGTAGTGAATCCAAGAGAAAATGAATAACTAACTAGGAAATTTCTTCTTCTTCTTTTTTTTCTTTTCTTCTCAAATAAGATTTTAGACAGGTGCATAACAGCAGACTTATGGTTGACAGAATGTAGACTAAAACAGAACATTCCATCTAGAATCTATTACTAAAGCAAATATAAACAGAACATCCGAAAAGTATACTGTAATCACTACAT